TGCATCTGGAAAAATGTAAGGAGTTGTTTGAAACATTAATCGGAGGGGTTCTTGTCTTCTGAACTGGGTATTGGTTTTTACAAAGCCAAAAATATTCATTTGGGTCAGAGGGGAGGGGTGGGATCTTCCCACCTGATCTAGAAATACCTGCCCCTTCTTCCTGCCATACCCTTGGGTTTGGGTTCCCATTTTAAATATTTCAATAGGTGGGCAGTGACCTTTTGTAATTCCACAACTGGGTAAGGAGTCATTTTTACATCTTTGGTATCTTCACACTCCAAAATCTGCTTTAAATAAAGCAAACTCCAAAACTGACACAGGAACTCTTCTTGTATGTTTGGATGGTGTTTTAGCTCATTTTGCCCTGGAAGGGGACATTTTAAAAAATGTACTTGGAAGGAGATAAAAAGGACATTATTGGGTTTAAAAGTATTTTTTAGCTGTATCACCAGTAAGGCTTTAGATTATTGAAACTGAAAATTTTGACACTCTAACTTCTTCTTCACCCTTTCTGTTGTTTCCATTTCGCCTTTAACTCAATTTGGACAATAAAACATACTCTAGTCACTTTCACTTCTGGGTCTTATGTACTAGTACAATGCTGCAACATTGGGGTGGCAGACATTATGCAGGGAACCTCTAAATCCAAACACAAACCAGTGACATGAAAGAAAATAACAAAAAGCACTTCTATTAATATTTGGTTTTGTAAGTTCTCCCTCTCCCACCTCCTTCCTTTTTAAACAAAGCCTAATTGCTTAAACCCTAAGTATCTGACAGTGTCCTCTTTAGGGCTTGATCCAAAGCCCACTGAAATCAATAGAAAGACTCCCATGGACTTCAGTGGGCTGTGGATCAGGCCCTATGATTAAGATGCTAATCCTGAACTGAATTTATGTTTTTGAGAACATGGAAGTCTCTCCACTGGAAAACAAATAAAAACAATGCTAATATTCATTAATATTTTCATACCTTTGAGCATAAAATGTTATCCAATTTTAGAATTAACGTCTGACTGTCCTCAAATCAAAACCACACCTCTCCCAGCACCATATCATTGAGATTGTCTTTCAGTTGAACTGCAGCCACTAAAACTGAGCTACTTTATCTTTCTTTTCTAACTGAAGAATGGAATTCATTGGTGAAATCTGTATTTTAAAATAGAAAAATTAGTTCCACTTTTAAATATTGTTATCCCATAAACCTTCACCCACAACTCCCCACCCCTTTAGACCAAAACATTTAACTACAGAAACTGTTCAGACTCTGAGAATTGCTCCTCTTTCACTTATGTTACTTGAAATACACAATATTCAGAATTTCTAATAGTTACTGTGTCCCCTATGGAAGCATTTAGCAGGAAATAGGCAGAGTTGGTAAGAGAAGAGGTATTCTAGTTCTAGTAAGAAGTTTTTTAGCTATCCCCACTATTTAACTTACATATGCCTCCTGTAAGATATAGTGAAGTCTCTTTTTCTTTCATTTAGACTAATTTAATGACCACAATGGGATCAGACTTGTACAGGGTTACATGGAATTAGAGCCAATGCTCCAGTTTGAACTGAGCAAAACCTGTTTTTCTTTACACCAATTAATTTCAAATAATCCACTACGTTCTATCACAAGAGAACAATTTGTTTGCAAGTCACGTCATTGTTTTAAACAAATAAATTACATAGCTCCATCAGTTATGTAATCACAAATTTGAACTCACATTGAACAGGTGGCTGGAGTTTTTCACAAACTTGTGGGCAGTAAGGGAAAGAGGGCATAAATAATGTTCCAATAACAATTACAGGAGTGTGCATGATCTGTAGCTTCTTAAGAACTGTTTCATGATGTGGGTAATCTTTTTTAGATAGGACCTTAAGCAACTCATGCGTCTTTAAAAAGAAAAACTCAAATGCAAGACTAAAATACTTGATTTTTTTATGTTGCTCAATATGGATATAGGAGACACTATTAAAAAGTGAACTTCCTGCAGACAGGGATTCATGTGACTAAATTTGCATTACTATGTATTGTTTCCCATAGAGATTCATTTCACACAGCTCATAGGAAATGTGCACTTTTTAGCACTTACATCTTGCAAACAGGTGTTTCAGAACATAGTCTGAAATTTTCAAAGCTGCCTAAAGGACTTGGCATCTAAAACCCCCTAAAACTAAGGCTATGTCTCCACTACCACGGTAAGTCGACCTACGCTATGCAACTCCAGCTACGTGAATAACGTAGCTGGAGTCTATGTACCTTAGGTCGAGTTACCGCGGAGTCTACACCACGGGGAGTTGACAGGAGAAAATCTTACCTTACTTTTCTTGTCGGGGGTAGAGTACAGGGGTCAACTGGAGAGTGATCTGTCGATTTGGCGGGTCTACACTAGTAAAAGCCCTCACATATTTTACTGTAATTTTCCACAGATTTCTTCTGCACTCTGTATCAAAGTTATGTATTTTGCTTACACCATTGTCTTCATGTGGCAAGTAATTGGTACAGCAGGTCCATGTTTATAACTATTGGGTAAAATTTTCAGATGCGCCTAAGTCCCCCTTGGAGCCTAAATCCTGTTGAATTTAAATGGGATTTAAGAGCCAAAGTGACCAAGGCACTTTTGAAAATGTTACCTATTTTTTTTTTTGCATAAACATCAAAAAAAGATCTTTATTACAAATATATGAAGAAATTGTTTTTTGTTGTTTATATGGGAAGGGGTTTGTGTGTATTAAAGAATGTATGATACATGCTAGTGAGTCTGTATTATGTCTCAAAGGTCAAATTGTATATCTTTTGTCCATTTAATATTCTGGGCTTGACTCACGAGTGCTGACCACCTGCAAACCCTGTGGCCTCCAGTAGGGATTGTAAATGTTTAGCCCCTCCTTAAATCAAGCCCTTTTATGATTGGAATTTATCCACATCATTCACCTCTTTAAACTGTAGTTACACCAATGTCCAATCTTTACAGTCCAGAATATTTCAGTCACAAAATATTCTAAGTCAGCATCATTTGGTAAGAGAAGTTCATCCCCTCATAGGGATGATCTACAAAGGTTTGTAATAAAAATTGGGCTTGTGACCTTCTTTGTGATATGTAAAGAAGGCCTGGAAGTAGGTTTGGTTTTCAGTGTTGTTTCTGGGGGTGGGGGTGTCTTTTATTAGATTATTTTCTGCTTGCTTATTAACCATAGAAACATTAGGAAAGTTAATTTTGTTTTTCCCTGGTTTTGCTGGAGGCCTTCTTGACAGTCTCAGAGCATGTTTATTATGAGCTCGTAACACCTTCATTGAAGGAAGTGTTGCGATGAATCTTTAGTAAAGGGTTCCTTTCTCCAAAATGTTCATTAGTCATTGAAGTTAAATAGGTATAAACTGAGTTTTAAATGTTCTGACTAAAAATCTCTTCCTTTCTCAGTTGCTCAGCTTTTGCTGTCTTGGTCTTTTTGAAGTGTTGTGCTTTGTATAATATGCTATGTGCTTATAACAAAATGAGTGATCATACCTGTTACACCACTGTAAGGTAAAACTTGGGGGAAAGTGTGAGACTTCTGCACAAGCTACTTAGATTTGTTTAATCATGAAAAATTACACTTGTACTATTTAGTGTGTATTTGTATGTGCCTGTATTGATTAATACACCAAAGTCATAGTGAGCATCCCATTGTGACGAGAAGAGAGAGATGCTCTGATACTGCTATTAAAGCAAGTCTTTGAAATTCAACATGGCGACTGTTTTGAGGTCAGAGATGTGCCTTTTGTTCATCCCAGGAATTTTTATGCAGCTTTGCCCGAATAAAAATTGCTTTTTGAAAATCACCATTTCCTATCTCCAGCTTGTGTTTTGCGAAATATAATTTTGGTAGCATGTCAGAATCCCTGAACATTCTAAGACCAGTCCTCACTGCCCCGCCCCTCACAACGCCTGGGAAGAGAGATCACCTGGCAGCAGAATAAATTCCCAGTGATCAATCCCTGCCTCTGCGGTCATAACCTGCAAATGTGACATGAACCCCGGAACAGAAACAAACGCCAATAATAATGGGGAACCAGGAGAACATGAGTTCAAGACTCATTTATCATTAATGTTTATATTTCCCTTCACACCTTTTATAATTAATCAATATTTCATTTTCCACTGAGAGGTTGCACAAGCAGGAAAAGAACCCAACTCCCTAATAGGCTGGACACAAAATCCATTCTCTTTACCAGGCTGCTTCTCAAAACAAACCTGCTGTATCTTTCTGCAAAATTGAAAGGCCAGGGTTCAACCTTTGCCAGTGGGGCTGGTGGTATAATTGTACATAATAGAAAATGTTTCTGCAGTTTTTTTCTCTCAACCTCACAAACTAGCAAACTGTATACAAAAAAACCTTTATTTAAATAAAGTTATTTGGTTGAAAAATCAAGAATGCAAAAGATGGGAAATGCCAGAATTAATGTGCAAGTGCTTTATTTTAGTATGATCACATATTAATAGATGATCATGTAGTATTTTAATGTAGCTTTTTAATCTTTCTTTTAACAGCACCCATCCATTATGAACCTCAAAGTATATACAGGTTTATAAACTTGAACTTAAAAAATGTATTCAGACTTAATCCTTGTGTAATATACCAGGAATGTAGATAATGGAAGCAACAGTACTTCCAGTCATCTTAAAGTACATTATATAAGAAGTCAGTCATCTTAAAGTACATTATATAAATAGTTATTTAGAAACCTCCTAAATAACTAGGATTCTTTACATACCAAAACCCTGGTGTGAGGCAGCAATGTAGCAGTTACAATCTCTCTTATCAAAGATCTCTGCTGATGTAATATTAAATAAATGGTTTCAGTTCAAAAATTCAACACACTATTCCCTAATATTTTTTAAACTCTGTATAGATCCATTCTGTTGAATAAGTTTAAACTATGCAGTAATTCAGATCTCTCTTGCTACTTTTGAACAGCTGATCAAGTCCCTTTCCTAACCATGAGGTCTTTCTTTTTATTCATTTCAGCTGAGGCAATCCCAGTCATACTGCACAGACACGGAATGCCTTCAAGAAGGTAAGTAACCATATTCTAAGTGGAAGTGTATGACATTAGGACTCCTGTGAAAGTCAAAATAAGCAGCAGTAATTAACTAAAATGAGATGTATGGCCTGGATCTCTTTTTTTTTTTTCCCCTCACAGAGTTGTGGTTTGAATTAATCATTGTCAGATTTAAATTAATGTATGTTATGGGCCACATCCTGGGCTGAGCAACCCTGAAACCCACTGGCGTCAACATGAGTTGCTGGAGTGCAGCACCTTTCTCGATTTGTCCCCAAGTCTAATGGAATTTAGCCTAGTAACTTTCAGGGTTCAAACTTGACCTTCCTTGCACCAGCAAGTACCATGGTACTAAGTGGGATTCACCCTGGGCAGGAGAATCATGGTTTTTCCAATGCACAGAGGTTGTGCCAGGGGAGGGTGGTTTTAATGTCCACATGTAGCACTATGGGAGCCCTGCCAGTGAAGACTGCAGTGGGGCTGTGCTGAATCAATACATCCCCTGAATGCCTGGGTCATGCCCCCTCCATGGCTAGTGCCATTCACTTGTAGGATTGTGCAGTCTCTTTGAACCACTCTGACCCCCCTCCACTCCGAGAAGAGTTTCCTTCACAGAAGGGCCTCTACCAGCATCTGCCTGTGAGGGAATCTGATCCATTATGCATGGTATACAAGGCAGGGGTTCTCAGGACAGATTATTTGGTAGCCTCAGGGTGTGGCCACCAACTCTTGCTGGTGGCCGCTTTCACACTTCTTCCTAAAATACTTAATTAGCTTTAGGAAAAACAAATAAATATGCACATACACACATCCAAATCATTGTAATTTATTTATTGCTAGCTAGTAAGTCTGCTGTGAAAAGTGATATTAACAACATACAAGTATCACTTTTCACAGCAGATTTACTCAGCCCTGGGAAGTCTGGGGACAAATTAAGCCCTGGATGGGAGATCAGGGTAGGCAGCAGGGGCAACTGGGGATTTGGGGGTTGGCCGGGAAAGCAGCGGAGGCCAGAGCCTGAAGCCCCACTGCCGGAACCTGGGGCTAGAGCGCAAAGCCTCACTACCAGAGCCTTCCTCCCCGCCACCTCCAGGCTGAAGCTCAAATTCTGAGCCCCACCACCCCCACCGGCTGCCCAACCCTTGTTGGAAGCCCCAGCAACCAATACCAAGGCTGTGCATCCAGGAGCACCAGGGAGGGCTGCTGCTTTCCCCTCCCTCCCCCCGTCCCACCATCACACCCCAGGAAGCTGTGGCCGCAAGAAAAGCCCCTGTTGCCCGCATTTGAGAAAAGCTGCACTAAAGAACAGTGTGATGGCATTTCTCCCTGACTCAGTGGCCATTTCATTAATACAGCAGTGTTGAGGTGTATGTTCGCTTAAAATATGCTGTAAATTTCCTGTAAATAATAAGTGCACACTGACTGGACATCATCATGTTAGCCAAATGGGATCAATTCAAACATGGAAGTGTATCTGTGTAGAGATTCCATTGAGGGTTTTGAGTGGCAGAGTGCTCACCGCCTGGTAGGATTGAGCACTAGTTACAGTTTGTACTCAGGTAATACAAACATTATTGTCTGTGAATGCATTTGGATGGGGAGCGAGCAGCAGTGGGCAAGGGAAGTGTAGTTAAAACAATAGAGTAAAATTTTCAAGAGCACCTAACCGAGGAGTCTAATTTAGCCTTTGAAAAGTATCTGATTTAGGAGCCTAAGGCCCATTTTCTAAAGTAATTTAAGCCTTAAGAACCTAGTCTGACTTAAAGTCATCTTTGAAAATGGGCCTCAGGCTCCTACGTGACTAGAGGAGGCTTGGAAAATTTTACCCCAAAGCTTGTTAATGCATAAAGCCTTCAATGACACATATGTCCAGGCAGCATAATGCTCAACCAAGTAGTGCACATACATGCTTGATTAGGCTGCCTGTTTCTGAGGGATGGATTTTTAGCCAATTATTTCCACATGCATACCTGTTTAGCCAATTGTTTCCATATGCATACCATGCATACCTGCTACAGGACCGCTAGCTTCTTCAAGGCAAATCCGGGCCCAGGCTACCTGTGACAATCTAACTTAAGGGGAACAAGCCTATCCTTGTTAATTGAATAACAAGCACCTAGTGGGCCTGCTAAAAGACCATCAGGGCTCAGTTGGAGGGAGGTGCTGAGAGAGACACAAGCCCTTCTAAGACCATGTCTACCCTGCACCTTATGTCGGTGTAACTACTGTTTGTCCCTGAGCAGTCGAACCCCAGAAGTAGAGTTTTAGTCAGGGTATTTTTGGTAAAAGTCGTGGGCAGGTTACGGACTGTGAATTTTTATTTATTTCCCATGACCTGTCCACAACTTTTACCAAAAATACCTGTCACTAAATCTTAGCCTTAACTATAACCTTTGGGATATTTTTCTTACTGATACCCAATCTTGTGAAGTAAACAATGCTAGTGCCCTTTCAGTCTACCAAAGCCTTTTTCAAGCTGCTGAGCCAGTAGTTTAATCTTTCCTTGTTGCTGTCAAAGTATCCGGTGTGTGACTTCATGAGTTAGGGGACTAAAGGCTAGGCTGGGTCCCCCAGGATCAATAATGGCATTTCAACATCACCAATGATAATCTGCCAGTTGGGAAAGAAAGTGCCTGGTTGTAGCTTTCTGAACAGTCCATGTTCTTAAAGATGTGAGTGTTGTGCACCTTCCCTGACCAGCCAACTCTGATATCAGTGAAGCGTCCCTGGTGATCCACCAGTGCTTCCATAGAAAAGTAGCCCTTTCTGCTGATGTACTCTGTGGCAAGGTGGTCTGGTGCCAAAACAGAAGTATCCATGCTATCTGTCACTTCACTGCAGTTCAGGAATCCCACTGCTGCAAATCCATCCATTATGTCCTGCATGTTGCTGAGAGTCACAGTTCCTCTGTAGCAGATGTTTAATGGCCCTGCACACTTGTCTGACAGTGGCTCCCACAATTGATTTTCCAACTCCAAAATAATTTCCCACTGACTGGCAGCAATATGGCACAGCAAGTTTTCCACACGGTGATCACCGCTCACTTCTCCACTGGCAGTGCCATTGTCCTGTTGGTGTCCTTATGCTAGAGGGCTGGGGCAGGCTCAGCACACAGATCCAGGAATGTGGTCTTGTGCATCTGAAAGTTTTGCAGCCACTGCTCATAATCCCAAGCCTGCATTATGATGGGATCCCACCAGTCAGTGCTCATTTATTGGATCCAGAAGCTGCACTCCATCATTTGCAGCTGCTCCGTGAACGCCAACAACAATCTTTAATTGGTTCTCGCTATGGCCCACAGCAATCTGCCCTTCAGGAAATCATCATCATTCCTGTGATTCTCCTTCTGGCTCTGCAAATACCTCAGGATCATGTGTCCTGTGCTTGCAATGCTCATAACAGGAGTGCAGAGCTGTGCAGACCCCATGCTTCTGTCCGAGATGGCAGATAGCAACAAGTCCTGCATGAGTTCGTAGGATTTTAATAATAAGCGTGAAAATTATGGGCTAGAGATGATGTTATAGGGTGGAGAAAGCTGCATGATGGGAACTTGACCCTGCAGTGCCATTCAACCCTATGCAACTTGTTTCTGTCCCACCAAAAGACAGCATGCTGGACAGTGGCGAGTTGCACCCTGGGATATCTATCCATGGTGCATGGCACTGTGCATTGAAACAAATACTTTGGGTGAGTACGCGCAGCACCGACAAAGGGAGCCAAGTATGCATGTGCACAAGCAATATGCTAACTGTGGTGGCTTTATGCCAGTGTAACTTATAGCAGCAAAAGTTTGTAGTGTAGACATGCCCTTACTCAGGGAAGGTCATTGTGATTTGAAGCCTCTAAGAAGGCAAAAGGGAGACAGTGGAGGAGATCCAGAATGCTCCTTTTACTTTTAGGTAATTAGGTTTTCCCTTTGAACTGGAATTAGCAGAGGAGGATAAGACCAAGATTTGTTTGGCCTTTTAGAATGGTTGAGTTAAAAATGCTTTGCTTTGTGCAATCACCTGATATTCATGCAAATTGCATATAATCATGGCTTCAAAAATGTACTTACTGTTTGTCCAAAGCAGCTAAAATCAGATATCTGAAGAGTAACTGTCTGCTCTGCAAGAATCAGTGTAAAGTTAGTCCAATCAGATAAGGATTTGAAAAGGACAACATCTTCTTCCAGTGTGGTGCAGACGCTTTGCTCATGCCACCACTGTATTCTGGTTGTAAATCTGGCTCGACTGGTCCAGAGAGGATGATCCTAATTTAAAGTGATCCTCAGATGGCATTTAGCCTGTTTCACAGGTACGAAATTTTACACTGAGTTGTAAGCACTTCTAGAAGGAGAAAGGGGCATATATGTCAGGGGATGGTGATAGCATGGTGTAGCAGTTGCAGTATTCACCTGCATTGGGAGTTCTGTTCCTGTCGCTGCCACAGACTTGCTTTGTGACAAGTAACCTCTGTGTGCCTGAGTTTACCCATCTATAAGGATGGTAATACTTCCTCATTCCTGGGGGAGCGGCAGGCATGAGGCTTAGTTCATTAATGTTTGTGAAGCACTTTGAGATCCTTGGACTGAAGTGTATTGTATAGAAGAGCCAAGTTCTTTTCAATTATTTTTATAATGTGCACAGTTTAGTTCCAGTGGGGGGGTTGCTTTCTGTTAATGGCTTAGGATGACATTTTGACTGACTGTTTTTTATTGGGTAAACAAGTGTTGTAAAACTCTCAAGAATCAAATAATAGAATAAACAGATTGAGCCTGGAGAAGCTGCTGGAACTGTTGTTTTCTGAGGTGGGTTATGACTATTCTGGGCCCTGCTCCATGAGAACGTCACATCCACCCTTATCCTCACTCTCAGATAGACAGGCATGAGGAATGACTTCCATTCATTGCCTCCCTGTTCCTTCCCGTTGGATCAGGTTGTCATGAGTCTACAGTTGTGATGGATCTAGAATCCCGCTCCTTTTGCCTAAGTCCTGCACCAGCAGCAAGTGACTAGTTGGCTAGCAGCAGTCAG